TGCACCACCTGTACTGCAGGGTTCCATTCAGCTTTGCAACTAAGGAAGAGCACTGTAAGAGGAAATGGGTTAAGTACAGATGAGTTGTAAAAACCTCTGAAGAGAAGGTTTACACAAACATTGATTGCACGTGATCAGAGATTGCTGTAACTTGTGGCTATGTGGGGAACTCATCATAAATCACCATAAGATGAGAATCTTGTGAACCCATACTGGAATCTGAACTGCAGAAGTTTTCAGTACAGATAGCTGAATGATACATGATGGGTCACAGTGACTGTTAATCATTTTAGATGTTATCCAAAAACTAGAGGGAAAATACTTCCTAGGGTGGCTGGAATCCCAAGGCATTGCAGTGTTCATAGATGTTCCAGCAACAGAAATTTTATATTTACTTTTCTTCATAGTGTACGAAGGGGTAACACAAAATTCTGTATTTATGTTTGAAAGCAGTCTCAGCTTTAAGTTCAAACCAGCTGTACCCTGAGGCTGAAACATGGCCATGTTTTGGCAGCAGGGAAGACTGCCATATGTTGCAGTGATCAAAAAATTACACTGATGCCAATCTCTGAAGTCAGTCTTCTAAAAAATATATAAGAGAGCATATTTGTGGCAATATAAGCTTTTAGAGAGAGAGAGTAAAAGAGCTTTATAAGCCTTTATTTAATGATAATTTTTCTGTCTCTTTAACAGTAAATGCTGCAAATCATAACTCACTGTTGTTCTTGAGAGAAGTTGTATATAATAAATAAATCCATTGCATCTCCCCATTACACAGCATTGCTTGCTGTCTAGCTCCCAGGTTTCAATTGCCGTAGGACAATTCCATTCATTGAATAAGTTCTTACTTATTGACTGGCTTTTAGTGAGCACAAACTGGAAATCGATAAGAAGACCTTTTTTTAAGAGTTATTCAGGCAGGCCTCTAAATGAGAGCAGGGATGTGGACCCTGGATCTAGCTGGCAGCACCATCACATACTCTCTCCTTTTTTAAGGTCAGTACAGGCCATTGGTTTGTAGCTCTCATGGGTGAATTCCAATGCTTTTAAAATTGGCAAATAGTTTGTTTTAGTTCCAGAAGTATGTCAAGGATCTTTGAACACAACTATTTGTATTCTTGATATGCATATAATAAAATGTATTGTAGGATATATTCTCACAGTGCAGTAGTTCCAAACTGCATCTACTGAAATCTTAATGCAGAACAAAATATCAAATAAAAACTACAGATCTCAATCATAAACCTTCTGTTCTCTAATGCAAACACTGAAGCTACTGTTTCTTGCTGAAGAAGGACTGTTACTGATCCATAAAGCTGATTATCTGAGCAGTTTTAAATTCCCTCCATTTACCAGTATCCTGAAATGCATTTTTTACATTGCTAAGAAGTTGCTGAGAACAGACTATGGATTCTACCAGCATCTTCTTTCATGTCCATGAAACATATGGCCATAAACTACCATTTATGTCCTTGAGCTTTTGAAAGAAATTATCCAGAGATGCAGTAAACTTGTTTTGAAGCAGAAGTTTTGCTATTGGCTAGGTCAGTAGTTTGCAGATAAACATTTTCTTGCCCAACAGTGATGGCAGTCATCAAACTTGCATTTTTTTGGCAGTATACAAGCTAGAGTTCTTCTGCATCTCCTGTGCCAACAGGTTCAGCTGGCTTTAAAGTGAGGACACTAATTCATTTGCATTCTTTGTATATACACACTTTTCCATTTCCACTTCTCCTAAATTCCCACAGTACATTGCATCTGAGAAAAAAAAAACAACAAAAACCACAGGCTGTTTCTGTAATTTTTCAGAGTGAGACAAAGATCTCCTAAGAAGATATTAATTGTTTTCATGGTCCTCGATCTCATCAACCAGAAAATTTCCTTATGTTATTCTGAAACAAACAGTTTAGTTCCAGGACAATTTCTGCCATTGCTGTCAAGACATTTAATGCTCCTGCTGATCCAGATATTTGCTTCTCAGTCAACTTGACTGAATGGTTCAGCTTTACTAGCAAATAGCACAGTCCTATTTTGTTACACATTTTCAGACACTTGAGAAAGTTCAGTGGTCAGCAATTTTTAACAGAGCTAAAAGACCCTGATACAACTAGTGCAAATACATTATCTGCTGAACAACTGACAGATAGGAGGACACCTATAAATTACGTGTAAGATGTCAACATCTGTTGCTGCTTCAGGTAGTTCTTACTGAGTGTTGTACTTTATTGACCAGAACATTAATTTCTCCTGCAAATCCATTTGGATGATAGCACTGCTATCAACAGCTCTCTTATGACACAGTTTTGTAAGCAAAACATGATTTATCTTAACAGTACTGACCAAATGGCTGACTGTGCCGTGAAGTTTTTGTGTATTCAGAACTGAAACCATATATTCTTTCTGAGCTAGAGGAATCTTGGTTTCTTGCAGATCTGTCTGTGCTTAATTTCAGTTATTTCTCCTTGAGCTGCAGATCTGTTTTCATTGTTTCATTGCTTTTATTAATTGAGAATGGTTTAGTGATTGTTTTTACTACTTTTTCCATGGTGCTCATTATCTCAATATCCTCTGTAACTTGTTCTCCCAAACTTTCAGCTTTTCTTTTAAGGTCTACACGAATGAAAATACAGATTCCATTTTACTCTCGTGCAGCAGAGGTCTCCTTTCAGGTGCTTAATCTCTTCAATATCTTCCTCAATAACAGCTCCTTTTGGCAGCTGCTGGTTAACTGAAGGTTCCATCACGTTTTTTGCTCTGTGAGCATACTCCACTGCACTCTGTTTTCCCTTGGGATTCACAGATGTGGGAGAAACTCTGGATATTACTGATGTCCTTTTTGTTCTCTTAGAGTCTTGAAGGATCCTCTTAGGATGTCTTCTGTGTCTTCTTCCACAAGAGCAGCAATAACTCTTTCATGGTTCAGGATAGATCACTTGGTATTTCCAGCTTCATAAACTCTTTTATCAACTGAAGTGTTTTTACCTCATGCAAGTGTATATTCCCAGTTTGAACAAGCTCTTGTTCATCTGCTTGAATTACTTTCATACAAATGGTAAAGGAAAAACAGGATCAACTGGAATATGCATTCATGTAAGTGGCTGCAATAGATTTTTTTGCTGCACCTTTTTTCAGGATCTGGTAGGCTTCATTTTTGTTGTGGTCAGGTATTTCTTTGGAGCCTTTCACATTTACACATGTCTTGTATATGGGATCATTGAACATCTGCAGTCTTTCTCTAGAGCTGAGAACAGGAGTAAGATAAAAAAGCTCTTCATTATATATTTCCAGAATAGAGAATTTTACAAAAAAAAAAAAAAAAAGAGAAAAAAAGAATAAAAATCATTGTCAATCTCTGTGACTTTTTCTAATACTTAATATGTTGTATTGCTGGACTCCTTTCAGTGGTGTCCAGCAACAGAACAAGGAGCAGTGACCATAAACCAAAACACAAGATGTTCCACCTCAACAAGAGGAAGAACTTTACACTGAAAGTGGCAGAGCCCTGTAGGAGTCTGCCTAGGGAGGACAAGCAGTATCCCTCTCTGGAGGCATTGGAAACCCACTTGGATGCAATCAAAGAAAGGTACTGTAGCCATAACAGTTTTGTGTTGCACATGAATGAACTGGTTCTAATGAAGCACTGGCCTTGCCTTTATGCCTCTGTTTTGTAACTTGGCCTGATATTGCACTGCAAAGGACCAAGCTGCTTGACCCTTGACTTGGGGAAGTTTTGCATAACTACCCAAAATACTCCATAGACTGCAACTGGTGAACTAACTTTCCAGATGTTACTGTCTGCTCTGCAGATGAGGAATTGGGGCATTTCTAGATCCCTTTCACAAACACCTTACAACGGAACAACTCTTCTGTCAGTAGGCTTAACTGACAGCCCACATGCTGTAAAAGTGTCTTAAGGAATTGTCATCTGAAAAAACCTAGAACTCCTCTGATGTGACATGTATGTAAAATATAATATGGAGTTATGTTGGAGATGGGAGGCAGAGATTTTTGGGATCTACCGGTTTTGTATTAACTTCACAGATCAGAAAACAGAAATTAAACTCCTAAGAAAATCCAGTAGCAAGATGAAAACTGCTCAAAAGTAGAGGTGCTCTGTGCAATTCTCAAAATTGTATTTTCTCCTATATATTAAAGCACGTTCCAGTTTTGCTGATTATGAGTGGATCACTAATCATCCGATTTATTTTTTAATTTTCCTGAATGTTCTTCATAACCACGGGATCAGTTAGAGAGTGCGGGAAGAAAAGTTCTCACCACCTGTCAGTTTCACGTGGCGAGGCTGAAAGAACAGCATTGTTACTGAGCCTCACTGCAGAGCTGGGTCCTGTGTCCCTGCAAAGATGGCATTTGGAAAAATACAGTGGTGCAGCACTTGTATCTCAGGCAGATGTTCCTCATCACTTTTGCACTTAAGATTTTTAAAAATTCGCATTAAACCCCATAACAGCATGATAAAGCAGTGATGCCTTATTATCCTAGGATGCAGTGCTCCGATCCTGACCCTGCAGAGACCTCATCCTTCCCAGCCGTATCTCTTGTTCTAAAATCCTTTTTCCCAAATGGCCCTCTGACAGCTCTCTTGACCCCGTCGTCATCCCGCCTCGCAGGTGCTCGCCTACAAACTTAGCGCTACTTAAAGGGCTCACTCAACCAGGCCTTTTGCCCTCAGCGCTCCCGCAGGGCCGTGGCCCCGGCGGCTGAGAACCGCGGGGGCCCTCGCCTCACGGGGGCACCTCGGGCTGCCTCGCCTCACGGGGGCACGGCGGGCTGCGCTGGCGGCCCTGCCCGGCCCCGGGAGCGCCCGACCGACCGCCTCTGCCTCCTCCTCCTCCTCCGGCAGGTGCGGCCCTCCCGGGCCGCCGCTGCGCACTGGGCGGGGCGGGGAAGCTCCTCCTGCTCGGGCACCGGAGCGGCACAGCCGGGACGGCGGCTCTGCGGCGCGGGAGCTGCTGGCCCGCAGCTCGTCCCCCCGCTGCCGTCGGAGCGCAGCGGAGCGGGGCGGAGAGGAGCGGAGAGGCGGCGCCGCCACCGCCGTGCGCGGCCCCGGCACCTGCCCGAGGTGAGCGAGCGGCCGGGCCCGCGGCGGCGCCCGCGTTACCTAACGGGGACCGAGGCGGGGGGCGGCCGCCGGTCGTGCCCTGCGGCCCCGGGCGCTCAGCCCCGCTGCGCTGGGGAAGGGGGCTCCTCTGAGGAGTAGGGGCGGCGAGGGCGAGTGTCCCCGTTGCCAGGGAGACGGGTCAAGCGGCAGCTCCGGCCGCCGGGGCGCCCCCGGGCAGCGAGCGGCGCTCCCGCCGGCCTCGGCTCCGCGTAGGAGGCGGCGGGGAGCGGCCATGGGGGGAGGATGAACCCGAGCCCGGGGTGGCTCCGGGACGCCGCGAGTGCCGCTCCCGCGGGGTTGTGCGGGGACGTGCTGCAGGTGCCGGGCTGGCGGCGGCTCGGTGAAACATGGATGGCTCTGCCGCCGCGACACGGGCGCTGCGGGGCGGCTCGGGGCTTCGTGCGAGCTGCGCTCTCGCGTGCCGGCGCTCGAAGCTACTCGTTTGGCTGACAGAAATCAACCTCTTGCTCTTCTCTGGCGTTTAAATATGCGGGAGCTCGCAGCTGCAAATGATCCAGGCACCCTGATTGCTGGAACATTGGATCTGCAGCCCTCGCGAATGATAAGGTGCTGCTCAGGTAGTTGCAGCTGATGGTGGGGAAAGATTCGGTTCTCGGCAGGAAATTTCCAGTTCGGTCGATCGGGAGCAGTTCTGCCGATGCCGCAGGTTGCCGATTGCTCAGCTCGCTGCTGCCGCTCTCCCAGGCCACGGGCGCGGGGTGGATTCCGCCCGCGGAGCGAGCGGGGTCGCGGTGACAGCTGATCCACGGCTGTCACACCGAGCGCGGGCAAGCAGCGTGCCTGGCACCAGACACCGCAGTGAAACGGGAAAGAAATGGAATTGTGGTTTACCACCGGGAAATAAACTGCAGACATTGATCATAGCAAATCGCGTGACTATAGTTTTTAAAGCTTGTCGTGAATTTTTCCAATTTTGTAGGGCTAGGAAAGTGTCTTGCAAACGTTTCAAGAGAAAGTTGGGGTTAGTCTTGTTTGAGTAAATGTTCATGGCAGCATTTGTTCAGTCGTGAAAAGACCAGGAGCAGACCCAGAGGCCACAATCCTGTTAACTGTAGCACATAGGGTAAAGGATTACTGGAGCCCTGCCAATTCCTGTTGATTCTGGGATCTGCCTCCATAAAGCAGTCGGCAGGAGCAAGACCACTGAGGCGTGTTCAATTCTTCAGAGTTTTTATCTGAAAACCGTATTTGTTGTTTAAATAGATCCTATGGAAATCCAGTGATGTGATGAATAAGTAATACAGTTACCACAGATGCTTAAAAAGCCACCCATATATATATAGCTACTCAGTCACATCTCCTTGTATTATTCAAGTTTACAGATGATTACGGAGAAATTTTTTCTTTACTTTGAAAGTGCTCCAGCAAAACTCCTTTAATCTTTTGCCTGTTTTTCAGACTGTGAATAATTTGACACTGTGACACATTTGACACAAAGCACTTTACAGTTATTATGTACAAAGTACTCTGCTAGGTTTGGGTATTCTCAGAAACTGTTAGAGAATAATAAGCTCTTGATTAGTAGGACACTAAAAATAGTGTAGTTGTACCAATTAACATCTCCTAAGCACAAAATTTTTATTTTCTTTTAGGTGTCTACAATGTTTATAAAAATATTGTGTTATACTGTACATACAAGCAACAAAAGGCCCTGTTAATTCCTGTATAGGCATACATGGACAAAATGTACATTTGCGCAGCTATTGATTTGACAGATGGGGCAAAGATTGTACTCCTAATATGTCAAGAGGCAAAGAAGTTGCCTTGGGGTTTCTTTGAAAATGGTCCAGTTAGATTGGCAGGTATACCTTTCATTCATTAAAGGGAGAAAATGCTGTTAGGGAAGGGAATTTTAATATGGAAATTGAAGTGTTTATTTAACACTTTGTAGCTCAGCACAAACCACACACAAGATGAAATTAAGCACTGTTTTTACTGTCAGAATACAATGGAATATTTTAAAAGTAAAGATGACCATGCAGAAACTTAAGTTATTGATGTATTTTTATGAAAGCGAGCTTGGAAGTGAGTGTGCTTCAAACTGACTCTGAAAAAATAGTGTAGAATCTTGCCTTGGACAAGAATTATGAGATTCCTTCTGATCTTCTAGTGGAGTTGTAATCTTTCTTCAATCTTGTCTTCTTTTTAAAATAGGACACGAACAACTGTGTTTAAGATGGCAACTTCTGTTGAAAAGTCTGTGTATTGCTGATTGTGTAAGTGAATTTCACCCAGGATTTGAATTTGAACATACAAAGAAATTTGAGTAGCATCAAGGGAGGTGGTTTTGGTTCTTTTTTTTTTCCCTTTCTTTTTATTAAGGGGAGCAATAACTTTTGATTTTACAGTAAGGAGAAGTATGGTTACAAGATCAGTAGGTGATGGAAATTTATGCTGGCATGGGTCATTTCTTCAGTGGGCACTTAGAAAATAAAGTAAGTGCAATTTGAACAGAGAAAATGCTGTGTTCATTTAAAAAAGGACTTTTTTGTTGTCTATTTTTGATTCAGAATATTTTTCTTTTGCCTGAAAAGTCAGAACTTGGTGTAAACAGCTTCTGACACTGAAGATCAGCTTCTACAAAGCAGCAAAAAGGAATGTATTTAATAAGAAATCCATGGCACTGCGGTGGTATTTTTGATTGATTCTGCTGACTGGAATATGATGTGATTAATGGTCAAAAATGACGGTAATTTAATGCCACACTAGCATGGGGAAGTGATGATTATAAATTGAACTAGAAGTGGAAATTGGATTAAGTGAAAAAATGAAATTAATTTAATCACTTGTGTGAGAACAGATGACAGTTAATGGGAAAAACTAGCAAAACAAAAATATCATTCAGTGTAATTATACTTACCCACAGCAACCACATATTTGTCTCATTTTAATTCTTTTATTGAAAAAAAGAATTATCCTTCATATTTCTCATCTATCTAAGACTTTCATATGATACTTGCCAGTGTTCTCTGCTCTTAGGACTTCAATTACTCTGACTACTCTGATTGCAGAAGTGGAGAGAGTCTTATGTTTGAATTTTTTCAGTCTCTCTTCTTTGGAGATAGAGGAACAAATTTTAGCCAAAAGGCTAAAAATTTTAAGATTTTCCTAAGAAATGATTGAATTTTTAGAAACCTAATTTTTAATTTTTTTACACTTTATTCCCCACACAAAAAACCCCCAAACCCACCCTCATATTACTAACTGGTAGAGGTAGTATATCCCCTCAAATTTGTTGAATTATCTGATGCTTACACTTAGTAGTGAAAGACAGGATCCTTGACATAGTGATTTCTAAACCCTCATTTCTTTGTGTTCTGACTGTGATGGCTTTTTGACTGCTTATGAAATAAAATGAGGTCTGCTGCTCTGGCATTCCGTGTGCATACTGTATTGCATGACTGTCTGCTTGTAGATGGGATGCTTTTATTCCCAAGAGATTTTTGAAATTTTAGGATCAAATTCTGATTACCTAAAATAAGTGAAGAGTAGAAACCCTTCACAGGGTCTTGTGATTATTTAAATTTTTTTTTTATTTTAAATTTTGGCTCATGTGTGGGTTTTACCCCTGACTGAATTTTGGGCTTTGAACAGTTAGAACCTTCAAATTGAGAAGAAGCATACTTAGGAGACCATTTCTCGAGAGGCATTCCTGCTAAGCCTGAAGAAATTTCAGGGACTAGAGGCTGCTCTGTGAGGCAGCTTCAAGAGAAGAAAATGAAGCAATTATGTTGGGGTTTGACAGTTAAAACAGGGAGACCAGGAGAGCTTTGAAATTCCTGGTTCTGGGTGTTCCCATGTGAACCAGCCACCCTGAATCTGCCTGACCTTTATAGAAAGGGAAATTTCTAATGTAGTTCAGAAGGGAGCTGTGGCAGGTTCTGGGCAGCTGCTAGTCTGTGTTCTAGATTCTAGACAAATGTTCTGTCAAGATTTATCAGACAAGTTTTAATTGCATTTTAACTATAAAAATTTGCTCTAAGCTAAGTTCAACACTGCAGTCCATTGCTGGGCTTGCTGTGCCCCTGCAATGTTCATCTTCCTTTCTGGGGCAGGGGTGTTCACGGACGAGGTACCTGAATTAGGAGAACTTTTGTGCTCTTTGCTCTTAGTGCAGTGAGGTCACTGAGGGCAGAGAGCTCGTGGGAACTGGGGCAGTACCAAGGGGTCTTTATGCCCCTACATCCACTGTTAGATCTTTGAAATACAGCTTTCCTTTGGCTTGGATCAGGAAAGATGCTGTTTCAGAAAGTGACATTCCAGTAGTGAATGCTGTGCAAATTCCAGTCACACTTGTGCCAGTTGGAAGCTGTTGACCTTGCTATTGACAGCTGGATATTTCCCTCTGATGAGAAAGCAATGAAATATGTAAAAAATTATGAATAAAATAAATCAGAGGCTTCAGAACATCAATAATATTTGAGAATGCATGATTTTTCTTCCTCGAAGTTAGGTGACTACTCTCAAGAGTTATGTAAATTAAGGATTTGTTCTGCCAAAATTTCCGTAGCAATATGCTGTGGCAGTTTAGAAGAGCTTTAATTGTAGGGAATGAGCTCTGTAGGGGGATAAATATTGTAAATATTTTGATTCGAATGTACGTGAAAGTTCAGGTTGTTCTGAAGAGTGTCTTTTTCTACAACCATCTGTCTTTGTTTTTCCTGACAGGAATGATACATATAGTGGTGGTATTTGACAGTATAGATGTTGTAATGTTGGAGCCTAATTCACTTTTGTGTTTTTCCTGAGTGCTGTGATTGTTTAGGATGGATCTTAAGATTGTGGATTTTTCCACTCAGTAGTCAACTCTTCAATTTTTTTAACCCCTTATGGCTCCAGAATAACCTTTCATTCCAGTCTTCAGTAAGAAACATATTGGAAGAAATTCCCAGCATCACCAGTTTGGATTGCAGAGGGGTTTTGTTTTGAAGGTATCATAT